GTGGGGCCTGGAAGTTCGAAGTGAGGTGAGGTGATGAGATGGAAGCCGAGCGAAATGTCTTATGTGCATTTTCAAAGCGTTTACGTGGATGTATGCGTTGACTGGATAAACACGCGCAATGATGACTGTCGCTGCTGTAGACGCGCATCTCGGGAGACCAAGGCATATTCTGAGTGCTTGGGCTTGGATCGACTGGAGGACGCGCAAGTTTGTTCATCGGATCCCGCAAAGCACGGGTAAGCTGCATCGCATATTACCGAGGTACGGAACAGTGTAAAGTTGGAGCATCGCTCGTACCGATGCACCCACCGTTTTTCCAGCAAGAAACCTCAGTACGTGGGTGATCATGGTGAGTTTAGTTTTCATGTGGGCGATGTGAGGGCTCCAGGAGAGGTCGCGATCAACTATGACTCCGAGTAATCGGTGGGTCTTCACGTAGTTGATCGTGTGTCCGTTGATTTTAATAACATATGGGCTCATCGCCTTATGCGTGAATGGTATAAGCGAGCATTTCTCTGATGACGGCTCTAGTCCCCCGTTCTTCCAGGTACTTTGTCGCTATTGTAGCCGCTCTCTGAAGCCGGGCACGCAAATGAAGGCGTGTTACGCCTGACGCCCAGATGCAGATGTCATCTGCATATATTGATAGATGAACAGAGTCTGGAAGTGCGTCAACCAGGCCGAGTAGCGCTAGATTGAAAAGTGTGGGTCTAAGAACACCGTCTTGAGGCACACCACGACGGTTGCAATGGTGCGTTGTTGTGCCATTTTCCGTCTGTACAAAGAAAGTTCTGCCTTTCAGATAGCTGCCTTTCAGATAGTAAACCCGACCCCCTAATCCAACATTTTCCATGATATCCAGAATGGCTTCATGTGATACGTTACCGTATGCACCTTTCACGTCCAAGAACAACGCCGCAGATAAACGTATCAGTCTTTTTGATGCTGAACAGATGAGACCAGGTGTATAACGTTATCAATTGCGCACCGCCTACGCCGAAAGCCCGTCATAGCATGAGGGTATACCTTGTGGTGCTCCAGGTACAACTCTAGGCGAGTCAAAATCATCCTCTCCATCACTTTCCCGAAACAGCTGCTAAGCGCGATGGGGCGATAAGAGGTTAAGTGCGAAACTGTGACTTTTTACTCATATTGGGGGTTCTTTTTCCAATATAAGGCTTGCGTAAGGTCACTTTAAAAACGAGTTCTATGCACCGGCGTGGCGCAGTGCTAGAATTCTGCGCTGACACGCGGAGGACCCGGGTTGGAATCACATTGTGTCCTTGGTATTTGCTATTACTAAGTTTTAAATGTGAAGCATTTCTAAGCGAACTTCGGCGACTTTGACCGTAACTATCTAGCCACCTTAGACTTTTAGGATTCCTGGCCATTTGGATTAAGGTATGTACAGTAAGATTGTTATGGCTTAACATGAGTCTATTACGAACACAAGTGACTGTTAAAACCGGAAAATAATGACTTGGGTGCAACGAATGTCATGATTTATATTTCTTCGCCTTGCTGTTCTTCCGAGCGTGTCGTTGCCATGACATATTGCAAAACAGGTATGGTATAAGATCGCTGGATGGCGAACATAAGGGACGGACCTTACGATGGAAATTATGATGCGCATGTCATGTAAGTCATGACTACTCGCCACTCTCATAGTACGCTCATGGTCCATGCGCTAGCTTCACATGTACCATATTCGGTATTACGGGACGTGCATGCATGACAAGAGCATATCACTGGTGCAAACATGGTAATCATGAGGTGCGTGTTATTTAAGGACACGACTGCATGCCGCACTCATGATGCGCTCGCGAATAACCAATTGAGATATACTTCACATATACCAGCTTCACATATACGAAACTTGCTATTACGTGACGCGAATGAACGACGAAGGTGAATGTCCAAACATGGCAATCATGACATGGTGTCATGTAACACATGACTATAAGCTATGTTCATAGCGCACTGGCGGAAGTTTCGCTAGTTGGACATATACCAAATCAACAATCACGTTACGTCAATAGCCGACGAAGGTAAATGACACGTAGCGCGTAATGCTCATAGCGTGCTTGCGACCATTTGGCTAGCTCCACATATACCTAATTTAGTATCACGTGACGTCAACATACGACGAAAGTAATAGACATCTTCAAACAAGATAATCATTTTCTGCGTGCCATTTACAACTTGAGAATCTGCTAGGCTCATAGCGTGCTCGCGGCGTTTTTTTGCTAGCTCAACATATACCGAATTTTGTATTACGTGACCTGAAATAACGACGAAGCTAACTGACACGCTCAAACAAGATAATAATCTTATGCGTGTCATGTCAAGCATGACTACATGCTACGCTTATAGTGCACTCACGGCCATTTCGCTTGTTTCACATACACTGAATTGTTCGACATACACTGAATCACATGACGTGAATGACAGCTAACGTCAATGACACGTCCAAACATGTTAATCATGACAAGCAAGTCTTGTACGGCCCACTTTACATCCGCTCGTATCATTGTGTTGATCTTAAAGAGACATATCAACACTCCTCATTCATGCTTCTCATATCATCGATTCCCACTGTACGTGAAACTTGCCATTATTTTCGTTAGATTCCTTGAGTAAACGTAGCCAATATCAGCTTTTAGGGTGAAGCTTTCAAAGCCATGGGTCTTTCTCTTATAACTCGTACATGACCACTTAGTTTATTACTCAATCAGCAGATGTGGAATGACGGACGGACGGACATACAGTGATATACGCACTGATGGACAGACGGACAGCCAGAGAGACGGACGGATGGACCGCTGGACGGATTATTCACAGTTTACCGATCATAGCCTCCGATAGTTCACCCCACTCTTACACATTCACTCCGTGGACATGTAAATTTTTTTCTTAACGCTCCGGCGTTAAAATACCCAGATGTGTTCAGTGTTCCTGGCTAGATATGAAGTGTCAATCATCTGTGACGCATACCCCCATTACCCACGGGTATGTGCCTATGTCTGAGGGGAAGTTTTTGATGACGTTGGCGACGCCTTTGTGACATTGATGTCATGACCAGCGATTCGTCAAACCATCTCGACTTCCCATACTTATTTTCGTTTACTTCATCTTAAGGAAGCAACAAAACCTAGGCGGCTAGGTGATAGACAGATACACATGTAGATAGACGTCAAAAGTGCTCCCAATACGCAAAAAAATGCTACGCAATTAATGCATAACTCTTTATTTTGGCGAACTTTTGAACCAAACGAAAGGCAGAAGTACAAAAAAATTTAAGCTTACTCTGACAGTCGGCCATCGATCATCTGACTACGGAAGGAACGTGTCATTTTTATGAAGCAGTCATCGAATCCTTTAGAATTATGACTTTAGTGCTCACGCCAGATTTCAAACTAACGTGACTGCTCACTTATGGCGTAAAATCTTCGAAGAATAATCTCACACAATTTCGAAGCTGCCCCAAACAATGCGGTGCAATCTGATATGAGCGTTCATACAAGTTTTGTATTTGAACCACGATTACATCATAATAAGGCAATGAGCGCGCATTAGAACGCCATCTATAAAAATCTTCGGTGCATTCCCTAAAACAGAGCACGTAAAAAAATTGTGATTGTTTTGAAACAACTTTACAATAAAAAGAGCAAGAACTGGTGTCCGGAGGCCCGTTAACGCAAATAGAACGTTTTAAGATGCACCACACTCACGACTTCGAGTCTTGCCCGGTGCCGCAAAGAGTCGGTCATTCGTTAGGGATAAATTCGTATTCATGAGTGTGGATGATCGAGTATATGTACTCTCAAAGAAGCCTCTCGCGTCTGCGTATGGACATCCAAGGCAAGACACGTTAACTAGGTTCATAATCCATGAGGCCTTGTACAAGATTATAATGGAGGTGATAGTACTTCTGTCGGTTATTTATTGAGGTTTGGAGCCTTTTCCGCCCGCTGTAAGTTGGCTGTGACAACGAAGTTTTCGTAGTTAACCACCGTAGTGTCACGGCTTTTCCATTTTTCTTTGTCCGGCACAAGACACGCAAGGTACCCATTACACGACTACGGTAACTCTCACGAAGTAGGGAAGTTTTCACTATGCCATTGGTCACTCTGTTGATAACTGAGGTACCCCCTACACCCCTGTAAAACATTATTTGCACTTTCGTTTTGTGAGTGGCAGGGAAAAAAAACTGGGTTTCATACTAAACATTTTCTGTCTTCCGTCAACGAACATTAACTAGAATGTTCTTTAATTAGCGAAGGGCAACTTTAACGAAGAAAGCAAGCTAGGCCGGAGATGACAGTTCCGGAAACTTTGCCACTAAGGCACAGCCGACAAGCTGCTACTCTGGAAGCAAGAGCGCGGCATGCAGTGGCTCAACATCTACGCCGACTAGCGAATACCCCAGAGGCGAGCTCCAGGAAGCATGAATTACTCGTCCCATGGCTCCCGGTTCTGAACACCAGGTGTTTACTCTAAAAGAGGGAGCTCGATAAAAAGAAATTATCCGCTATGCGGCTCCTGCTCATACAAACCAGGCGTGTAGGGCCGTTCCATGCGTCTCCCGCACTGCCACAACGCACGTGCCGGGACGCTACCGCACGCAAGTGGGGGACAAATAAGCCAATTGGCGACGCTGCGGAGGGTGAAAGAGCATCGCAAATCCCGAAAGAGCGTCACAGGGGTCCCGGCACGTGCGTTGCTGCTGTGCGGGTAGCGCGTGTGAAGGCCCTTAACGCTGTTGTTCATGAGCACATGCCATGAGCACATGCCATGAGCGCATGCCATGAGCGCATGCCATGAGCGCATGACAACAGGCAGTACAAAAGGAGAGGCCAAGTAGCGTGTTGAACGTCTTGATAGATGTTCGGACAACGGTTGAATGCATTCCTAGGAATATGCAAACAAAATTTTGCGTACCTAACTTTCGGCAAGCTTTTGAGGAACATTTCAAAGTAATGGAAGAGTCGATTCCTCACCTGTGTGCAAGCTCGTGCGCAAATACGAATACACCATAGTAGCTGCCAACTCTTTCTTCGGTCATTCCTACTCTCCACTTTGTACAGGCTCCAGCGAGATATGCAAAACCTACACAAGAATATCGAGTTTTACCTTCTTTAACAAATACCTGATAGCAATGATGATATTTATATGACAAAAAATTATTCTCGCACCCCTAAATCTGTACCTGAAGCAACATGACAAATGATTGTTGTAAAGCAATACACAGAACAGCCCCGCAGTGGCTAAGGTACTCGGCTGCTGACCCGCAGGTCGCGGGTTCGAATCCCGGCTGCGGCGGCTGCATTTCCGATGGAGGCGGAAATGGTGTAGGCCCGTGTGCTCAGATTTGGGTGCACGTTAAAGAACCCCACGTGGTCGAAATTTTCGGAGCCCTCCACTACGGCGTCTCTCATAATCATATGGTGGTTTAGGGACGTTAAACCCCACATATCAATCAATCGATCAATACACAGAACAAACAAAAATAGTGCGCATGAAGAGACGAAAACCAAAATTACCGTACCTTGTTTCAGGCCTAGACAAAACTACGCACGACTGTCTGCATTTAAGATTTAATAAGAACGTGTGAAGTCCAAAATTTTTAAGTGCAAAATAGTTTCATTGGAAGTAGACTTCATGTCTGTTGTATACATTAACAAGTTAAATGCATCTAGACCTCTGTCCCTGTCCCACAATCTTTATCTTTAAACTTGTATTGGCATTTTGCTATTTTTATCACTTGTTACGAATTTTGTTTGTTGAGGTATCCATTAATTTATTAGGTACCGCCGACATTTCTGCGAAGTTGTTGGCAGGGGGAGGCTACAGACACATTCAACGTATGTTCTTCATTGCAAGAAAACATGGCACGTTACGGTTGAGGGGGTTTGTCTCTACCATGGGGGAAGACACAAACAACACTGAAGAGCCCATTTTGTCGGCCCAATACGGCCTCAAAACTCTCAGCGCACGGTATGTTTTCGCACTATATTGGTTTATTCTTTGTACCACTTCCGTGAGTCGGCCGAATGGCGCCGAATGCACGTGCTTTCTTTGTAAATTTCCGGACCCTGTACACCTTAGTCTCCTCAAACCTGCTTCATTTCGGCATCTCACAGTCAAAGGTCACTTGGTGGGACGAATCTGCTGGCTTCAAAACACACTGGCTTTCCAAGGTCGTTTCTTTGACGTATTATTCTATCTTTTTGTTTTTTTCACGATTTTTCCTGTGAGCTCCACGTTACACTACCACATAGACATGTGCTGCCATCTCGTGAAGCCGGAAATCGAAAAACATGAAAAACTATTCATCAAGTGAATATCTGCAGGGTGGTAATATGCATCACATCAGTGTGCGAGCAACAATGTCTTGTTGGCGGTGCCATAAACTCACCTCACCCTCAGAGAAGAAACACACCTTACAGATACTTTCATGGTACTGCGAAACACGCAAGAAGACCACGTTCGCTTGTATTGTGGAAGTAGTTAGTCAGTATCAACTAGCTCAGCTAATGGCATTAGTATCCCACGGACATCTGACGCCACTATAACAAAGCAGAAAAATCTTGCAGTCTAGCGTGGCAAGAAAAGTTTTGAAGCGGGGTGCGAGCTTCCTTTTCCCTAATCTCCCTCAACTCGCACGTGGACGCCTATGTTTACTCGCTGCGGACCTGCAGGAGCGTGCCCTTGAGAGTCAAACACAACATACCATTTTATTGACAAGTTGCTAGCGTTTGATTTGTATGAGCTTGTTTGAAACTTTCAAACAATATTCATTACGAAAAATCCTCATTTGGCATGCTCAGGACCAGGACCAAAAAGCTTCTTCATGGCTTACCACCCCAGATAATTTGGCAGGAATGGGCTAGCGTGCAGGGCAATGCTATATCTTGTGAAGTCAAACACAACATATCTATTTTAAAATGATTTCATAAGGACGCCCAAAATAGCCCAATGATTTTGAAAAATACGCAACACCGCCACTACAGTAAGTGGGGGGGGGGTATTTGTGACATTACGTAAATCAGACCACACTGTCGCCAATTTCAACTAGGACCATACCCTAAAGGTAAACGCAAAAATATAGATATGCCCACCTAGACACGTCTAAAAGTACAAGTGACACAAAGCGAAAAATAAACCTATAAAACAATGCACCAACTGTAATTTCAATAATGACAGAATAGTTCACCGGCACCGTACAAAAACAAAAAAACCCAAGGTATTACTTATGTAAGACCAAAAGGCATCTTTAGCAAAATTTCCATATTGTTTGTTTTAACGAATCAAATTGCAGGGAAGCCGCAGCGTCTCCTTGCCATATTTAATGCTAGCGCGTAGAAGAAATCACGTGTGAAGACGGCGAGCGTTATAAAAGGGGTCCGGTGGTTCAATTGAGCAAGTGTCTCTCAAGCTTATCACTTTTTAGTTCCGTGTAATAACGTTTAAATAAGACTTGTGTGGTAGTACTATGGTAGGGTTAATAACTTCATTCTGTCAAAAAGCGCGTAAATTAGACTTCCAAGCGGAATATCTTCAATTGTGCGCACTGCCATTCTCTTTATTACATGTAATCTGTGATTGTTCGTTAGAGTTGTCGTAGCCCAAACTAGGTGACAATAGTTTATGGGCGATAAGAACAACCATTTAAAGAAAATAGGTCGACTTTTTCTGGAAGCAGAAAACGCACTCTAGACTGAAATCCGGCTATCCTGGATACGCTCGAAAACAGCTATTGAATGTCGGTGTTGCGTGACATATTTTCGCCAAAAATTACAACAAGACGTTTAACACTTGGTTCTATCTGAAGTTCCGGGGAGCCTAGTATCAACGGTGCATGCAGAGGGTGAGGTTTATTGCTAGGCCTTAAGGTAACAGCTGTTGTTCTCAAAGTATATTATAAAAAATGTATGTCCAGGAAGTTACCTTCAATATTATTTGGTTTGCACATTTATTAAATGCTTAAATCACTCGGCAGTGAGAAGTGAGGTTCTGCTACCTGCGTTTTCAACACGCTCCACCGATGCGTTATTGCTTACTATATCACTAATATATACGCAGAAAAAAAAGGGGTGCAAGGATACTGCCTTGAGACACACCTGCGAAATTTCTTGTAAAATTGGAGGTGTGATCATTGCTGACCAACGTCTGCTGACGATATCTAAGGTAAGATTCAGTCGATTTTAGAATGACACCTCGGAATCTCTAGCGAGTGCATTTAGTTAAGTGAATGACGTGATTTATAGTATCGAAAGCCTTTGAGTACTTTATAATGATTCCTAGTCTGTGTCGTTCATATTCAAAAGCATCTAATACGAACTCCTTCTATGCCAAGAGAGCATGCTCAGTTGTGCGGCCTTTCATGAAACCCAATTGTGATAAAGTAAAGGTACGGTACTTATCTAAAAAGGAAATTATATATTTACGAATAAGTTTTTTGAAACCTTTTGATATTACTGGCAGTATAGATTTAGGCTTGTGGTTGCGGCATGCCGCCTCATGTTGGCGCCATGCTCTATAGGCTGCTAAACATATGCTGCTCCTAGGCTAACGCACCGAGAAATCACAGTAGGACAGGCCAACTGCACTTCACCACGCTACTGAAAGTTGTTTCATGCTGTTACCGAATTTCTTCCCCCCGTGTCATCTATTAGGTGTAACTTTCAGCGCACTCATCGGCACGAGCGTTTTAAAAGACCGAAGCTGTTGAAGCTCCTTAGAACTTTATCTTACCCTATTCGTTGTTCATAAATTCAGTTAAGATTAACAGTGAACCATTAAATGAGGCAAGAGACTCCGATTGTGCGGTTATTCTATGGTTTATTTTAGAAAGTAGGTAAAGACCACTCCTACCACTATGATACTTTCACTCTACTCGTCCAGGTTCTAGCCTGGAAAACAGCTGGTTTCGCAAATCGAACACTTCAGCTGAGCCACTACCATCTCAGTTCCTTTGATAAGATCAGCGTCTTACAAAATTACTCATAATTTGCCCGCAAGATTCAAGAAAACTCTCGCCGATGACTTCGCTGAAGGCTTCTCCAGCTCATGAGCGCGTTAATCCCCCACCTATGCTGCAGGCATTTCCTAGTCGCGAGTAATCACGATACATTATGTAGAATATCTGACTTCAAGGACACTTTCAGATGCCTTGCAAGATGAAGTGTGGTCTACAAGACAACGCCGTGGTTTACAAGATCGGACGGACTCACTGTGATGCCGACTTATTACAAGTGCGCTATTTGAAGTTCCACTGCATAGTGATATTGACATATGCAGCTTCTTAAAGATCATAAGAGCTGACGACTGCGGCAAACAACAGCACAAGGACGTGCGAATAAGAAGCCTAGCATAGTATATGGAAAGCTGTGATACCCAAGAAGCTCGGGCGAGGACTAGTGTCTTTTTTTTGCAAAACGGCGTATTTTTAAAAAAGAACGTTCTATCCTGAACAAGCTACCTTGTCGTACGTTCGCCAATCTGACCAGAAAATTTGCGGGCTCTGCACAACAGCACGATGCCTGTCCTCTTGAGTAATTCACACTTGCTCCTTAGGATACACGAACTTCGCTAATGACCACCTCTTATCGTCAGCGGCGCCAATACATGAGGACTTTCTGGAACTTTCAGACGTCTGCAAATAACTGGGTCATCTTGGCTACCAAGAGCCTTATCCGCTACGCCGAAACTGGTGCCTTGGCTCTAAGTAGTGTCACTGATGCAGTTAAACTTGTCATTCAGAGCACTTTACTGCATTTAAGCGATAAGAGTATGACTTTTACGGCTCACCCAATGCAAGTGATTTGGAAATACATCTACGAATCTCAGCGAAGGACAACGTGCGAGTGAGTGGCTTCTCCCAGATTCTCAATAAAATCTTCGCGCACATGCCAGCAATGCAGGTAGATGTCACACACAACACTTGGAATATCATCCTTTGTATGTAACCTTGACTTAACCCACGGACGTGCAAAAGTCAACCTATCGTACGTCGTTAACGCTGGTTTGACGGAGCGCTCGGCAACGACGCTTCGCGCCATTACTTAAAACGTCACCGACAAAAAAAATCTCGACGTTGTTGCTGA